AAATTAAATTAACTCTTTTAATTTATTTTATTTTATTTTTTTACTTTTTAACCTTTTTAGTTTTTTTTTTATATATATTGAATTGGGTCGGGTTGGTCCAACCCAGAAACACGACCCGTTACTCAAGATAAGCAAATACAGATCAAGCATGCAAAAAGGAAATTTGCAACTAGAGTTCATGTCATTTCCAGCAAAAGATTAACAGATTCATCAAGCAAATAAACAGGCAAATATATGATTTTTCATTCATTTTTCAAGAGAATACATATCACCTTGAACATTAAACGAAAAAAAAACAGAGAAATCAACCAAAAAAAAGCAACACATCCACGGCAGAATTTTCTGTGAAAAATGGATCCAGATCTGATGGTAGGGATCCCACCCACGAGACCAGGCTCCCATCGTCCCCTTCACTACCGTTCCCAGAAAACTCCTCTGTTAGAAGATTTACCTAAACAGAAGCAAACACAGCAAATAAGCCCTCCGTCAACGGATACAAAAACCGAGCTCCAAAATCCACTCAAAATCAAACTCCAAATATCAATCAACCACAGACCCTCCCTCTCAATCAAACTTCAAAAACTCTCTAACCTTTTTTTCGGCAGATCTTTTTTTCATATATATATACCCAAATAAAAAATAAAATAAATAAAAAGACTTGCTCCTGTCAATCAATAATGATGAAGATTTCGTCTGGCATGTACTGTAGCGAGCAGGAGTGCAGGCGCGGTGCAGCAGCAGTGGCTGGCGTGCAAGCAACAGGGGCGTGATTGCAGGATCAGGCGCGCAGAGGGGATATCTGGGAGCAGAAGGCACGGTCAAGTGCAGGAGCAAGGCTCGGGTGCAAGGCAGGTAGGGGCGTGGAGTGCTGATGATGGCTCGGGCGTGTAGGGGCCATCATTGCCGGCAGTGAGGCGCAGAGGAGGGGCGTGGGTTCGGTGCAGGGAGAGGCATGATTGCCGGTGATGGGGAGGGGTTGATTTGGCGCAGAAGGCATGGGATTTGGGCGCAGAAGCAAGGGAGGTGCAGGAGCATGATGGCTGGCAGTGAGGGGTGATGATGGCTAGCTCGGTGCAGGGCAGAGCAAAGGGGATCTGGGCTGCAGAGAGCAGAGGAGGCTGATTCGGTGCAGAGGGAGGCAGAGGTTGGTTCGTGCAGAGGGGGGTTAGGGGCACAGGCTCGGTGAGAAAGGGGGTTAGGGCATGGTGATGGCTGGGCATGTGATTGCCGGTGGGTTTGGGGGGAGAGAAGGAAAGGATAAAACCGGGGCGGGGAAGGAAGAAGAAGGCTCCATATATATTTTTTTATTTTTTTATTTTTTTGTTAAATGGGTTTTGGGTTTTGTTTTGGTGGTTTTTGGGTTTTGGGTAATTGGGTTTGAGTTTGGTGGGTTTTGGATTGGGCTTGATGGGTTTTGGGCTAGACTTTGCATTTCACCCCTCCAACTTTTCATTTCTTCAATTGAGTCCTTTTTCTCATCTTCTTTTCCAATCTTCTTCGTAAAATTTCCTTTTTGCCCTCCCTTTTTCTTTGAATGAACCTAACAAGTAAAATAAAGACAAAACATATTAGTTAAAATAAAAATAAAAATAAAAATTATACTAAAATTTTAGTTATGATAGTTGCCCCTCTTTTCTTTTCTTAAATTTTGTGTTTTTTTTTTTTTTTTAATTTCAACTAAACAGATAAAGTAAAACTGGTCGAATGACTAGACAAGTAAAGTAAAAATGATTAGAAAACCGCAACAACTGGATTAACCGAACAAATGAGATAAAATGGTTAAGAAACCGCAACGATCGGATTGACCGAACGAATGAGATAAAATGGCTAAAAAGATGCAACGATCGGATTGACCGAACGAGTGAGAGAAAACGACTAAAAAGCCACAATGATCGGATTAATCGAACGAATGAGATAAAATGACTAAAAAGCCGCAATGATTGGATTGACCGAACGAATGAGATAAAACGGTTAAAAAACCGCAACGATCAGATTAACCGAACGAATGAGAGAAAATGACTAAAAAGCCGCAACGATCGGATTGACCGAACGAATTGGATTGACCAAACGAATGAGAGAAAATGATTAAAAAGCAGCAACGATCGGATTGACCGAACGAATGAGATAAAACGACTAAAAAGCCGCAACGATCGGATTGACCGAACGAATGAGATAAAACGACTAAAAAGCCGCAACGATTGGATTGACCGAACGAATGAGAGAAGACGGTTAGAAAACCGCAACGATCGGATTAACTGAACGAATGAGATAAAACGACTAAAAAGCTGCAACGATCGGATTGACCGAACGAATGAGATAAAACGACTAAAAAGCCGCAAGGATCGGATTAATCGAACGAATGAGAAAAAACGATTAGAAAATCGCAACGATCGGATTAACCGAACGAATGAGATAAAACGACTAAAAAGCCGTAAGGATCGGATTAACCGAACGAATGAGAGAAAACGATTAGAAAATCGCAACGATCGGATTAACTGAACGAATGAGATAAAACGACTAAAAAGCCGCAACGATTGGATTGACCGAACAAATGAGAGAAAACGGTTAGAAAATCGCAACGATCAGATTAATCGAACAAATGAGATAAAACGACTAAAAAGCCACAACGATCGGATTGACCGAACGAATGAGAGAAGACAGTTAGAAAACCGCAACTATCGGATTAACCGAACGAATGAGATAAAACGGCTAGAAAACCGCAACGATCGGATTAACTGAACGAATGAGAGAAAACGACTAAAAAGCCGCAACGATCAGATTGACTGAACGAATGAGAGAAGACGGTTAGAAAACCGCAACGATCAGATTAACCGAACGAATGAGAAAAAACGACTAAAAACCCATAACAATCGGATTGACTGAACGAATGAGAGAAGATGGTTAGAAAACCGCAATGATCGGATTAACCGAACGAATGAGAGAAAATGACTAAAAAGCCACAACGATCGGATTGATTGAACAAATGAGATAAAACGACTAAAAAGCCGCAACGATCGGATTGACCGAACGAATGAGAGAAAACGACTAAAAAGCCGCAACGATCGGATTAACCGAACGAATGAGAGAAAACGGTTAGAAAACCGCAATGATCGGATTAACCGAACGAATGAGATAAAACGACTAAAAAGCCACAACGATCGGATTGACCGAACGAATGAGAGAAAACGACTAAAAAGCCGCAACGATCGGATTAACCGAACGAATGAGAGAAAACGACTAAAAAGCCGCAACGATCGGATTGACCGAACGAGTAACGATTGAATGATCAAATAAGGGAAGTGATGTCCGAAAAGTCTAATGACAATGAAACCAATGCAAGTGAAATGATCTTCATACATAAGATAAGATGAAAATGAAAAGAAACTTCCCTGAACATATTGGATGCCCATATTTGACGAGAGTTAAATGTGCTTTATGATGCGCATTCGTCAACTTGTCATCACCTCTTTGTAGCAGCTTAGTAGATTCACATTCATGTATAGTCTATTGAACACAAGAGGTAGAATCTCATTTGTTTCCCATGAAGAGATATTTGAAAATATTGCCCCAGTAAGTTGAACCTTCATTTGCTATTGGAGCTTCAACTAGCATGGATGACTC